GAAAGCCAAGAAAGAAGTTTCTTCTAGTTTCCAAAGAGGGAAATATCCTCACCTCTCTCATTACAACCTGTGATTTTATGTGTTGAGGTAAAGGGTGATATCACATTGGTGTATTAATGTTTCCTATTTGATGACAAAGCAAGCACAGTTTTATGCATGCCAGTCCAGTCAGATGATTTTAAAAATACACTTTAACCAGGCATAAATGCTCATGTTTGGTCAAAAAAGACCTAGTAACCCTGTGATCTGCCTCTGGACATAGCTTTATAGAAATGAGAAGTCAAGAGCATGATGTTATTTGGAGATGTCCATGCTTGTCTCCTTACTGCAACAGTTTAGGAGTCTTAGAATCTCAGAAGCATTAAAATGAACACAGCAGGAGCTCTCATCTAGAAGTGGTTTTAAAAGCAAAGTGAGCTATCTGATCTTTAAGAGTCTGAGGAAACTTCAAGAGTCAGAGATGGGGAAATACATTCAGGTGTTGCTATACCACCTGCAAGAGAAGATGTGGGAGCTCAGCAACTGGTAGGAGCTAGGGGAGCTGATGCCGTGAATAGCTGCTGAGAGTTATCAATAGGAAGGCAACTTTTTTGTTGTTGTTGTTACTGTTGTTTATTGCCTTTCAGGAGGACTAATAAGAGTCTTCTGTTTGCTATTCTAAAAAGCACCAGTGGTAGCTTATTTGGGAAAGGGGAAGAGGGAGGCATTTATTGCTTGGAAGTCTTCCCAAATGATCATCTGAGTTACACTTTCGATTTTAAACTTCCTCTTTTACTAGGTGTCTTAGACATCTAGTGCTGCTACAACAAAAATACCACAAGTGAATGGCTTTAACAAGAGAAATTTATTCTCTCACAGTCTAGCAGGCTAGAAGTCCAAATTCAGGGTGCGAGCTCCAGGGGAAGGCTTTTTCTCTCTGTCAGCTCTGGAGGAAGGTCTTTGTCATCAATCTTCCCCAATTTTAAGAGCTTCTCAGCACAGGTACTGTGGGTCCAAAGGACACTCTCCTCTCCTTGTTCTTCATGCTTGGTGGTAATGAAGTCCCCCGTCTCTCTGCTAGCTTCTCTCTTTTATATCTCAAAAAAGATTGACTCAAGACACAACCTAAGCTTGTAGATTGAGTCCTGCCTCATTAATGTAACTAGTTCTAGTCCAGCTTCATTAACATCATAGAGGTAGGATTTACAGCACACAGGAAAATCACATCAGATGAAAAAATGGTGAACAATCACATAATACTGGAAACCATGGCTTTGCCAAGTTTACACACATTTTGGGGGGACACAGTTCAATCCACAACCCTAGGGAAGGAGGGAGATCCACACATTTTTAGGTGAAGCCCCAGGCAATTATAGAGTGTCTACAAAATGATTCTGCCTCCCAATTTTTTTTTCCTGAAGAAATATTGAGTCTTTGGGTAGGAGGGGTTCATGTAATTGGTCAGAAAATAATTTTTCCAATTTTAACTTTTGCATGTGAATAAGTGATCCATATGATTTCAATGCATAGTCAAAGAATGTCACTTCTACATCAGTGATTCCATAATATGAGTGAAAAGGAAAATCTGTTAGCAATAGGGGAAAATGAATATAGGATTCTCAGGAGGTTGTAGCACAATACTAAAACTGTGAAGACAAGAATGATGCATAAAGAAATAAGTAAAAATACACATAATGAATTCAGCCACGTTTATTATATTAGTCTCTTCCACCGTAATGTTATAATCTTGTGGGCAGGAATTACGTGTTATTATCTAACATCAGCGAAAAAGAGGAAGATACTCAACGAAGTGAATAGACACAGTGGCTGCAAGAATGTGCTCAGGCATAACAATGATTGTGAGGATGATGCAGGACCAGGCAGTGTTTAATTCTCTCGTACATAGGGTCTCTATGAGTTGGAACCAACTCGACAGCCCCTAACAACAATCACATCCATCATCTGCCACCATATTCCTTAATTCAGTTCTCTGCACTTAGTAACTAGTAGGTACTGAATTTTGTAGATTTCAAATGGTTAAAAATTATTTATTTTAGAGATCACTTTTTCCAGAAGAGTTGGTACACTTATTAGTAAACAAGGGTCAATACACAAATGTATTAGGATCAAAGGATACAGACCAAATGGATCATTCTATGAATTATGATAGATAAGTTTTATCTAACAAAGTTATAAATGCCATTTATATAATTTATAGTCTCCCCACATGAAAGCCTTTGAAGATTTTTTAAAAAATGATTAGAGGTAATATGGGTTACTACGGGTGACCTCTGGAAAGGCCTAGAATTGATGCTACCCTCCATGTGACTGCCCTCCATGTGACACAATGAATCCAGTCTTATCCTTGGAACTTTTCTCCAAATAATCAAGTGTTGGTAATAATCTCACTACTGTTGTATATATATTGCCATCTGTGGACTCCTTCCTTACTTAATCTTCTCCAAGAATTATAAATCTTTGCTAAAGCAAAATAGTCTTTTCTGAATTAATTTATTTAGGACAACTTTGACATCCTTATTCCTCAGGCTGTAGATCAGGGGATTCAGCATTGGCACAATAATGGTGTAAAACACAGAAGACACTTTCCTTTGCTCAATCAGGCTGACATTTGATGGCTGTAGGTACATGAATGCTGCAGAACCACAGAAGATTGTAAAAGCCAAGATATGGGAACTGCATGTGCTGAAGGCTTTGGACCTGCCCTCAATGGAGTGGATTCGCAGGATGCTGGCAATGATGGAGACATAAGAGCCGAAGATGGCCAAGGTTGGTGCAAGAATATTAAATACACTGAGGCACAGAAGTACCAGTTCATTGATATAAGTGCTGGAACAGGAGAGCTCCAATAGCGGAAAAAGATCACAGAAGTAATGGTTGATTATTTTATCCTTACAGAAAACCACTCTTAGCATGCAACTTGTATGAGCTGTGGCACTAATAAAGCCCATCATATATACCTCAACTACCAACCAGGAGCAGACCTGATAAGACATGGTAACATTGTAAAGTAATGGTTTACAGATGGCAACATAGCGATCATAAGCCATCACAGCCAATATATGACCTTCTGATATAATAAAAAAAATGAAGAAATAGAGTTGAGTCATGCATTCAGGGTAGGAGATGATGTTCTTCTCTGTCACAAAGTTCACCAACATTTTGGGGATAATGACAGTGGAATAGCAGAGATCAATGAATGACAAACTGCTGAGGAAATAGTACATGGGGGTGTGCAGGTGAGAACTGAGCGCAATCAGTGTGATCATGCCCAGGTTCCCTATCACCGTGACCACATAGACTCCTAGGAAGAAAAGAAAGAGGGGCAGCTGGAGTTCTGGCTTTTCTGTCAGCCCAGCAAGGATGAATTCAGTCACTATGGAGTGATTTCCTGTTGCCATTTTCCTCTGGGAATTTTATGGAGGAAGACAAGAAATTTGAGGTAGGTGTTTATTTATGCAATGTGAAACAGATGGAAGTCTTATCATTCAGGTATCTCCAATTCTCTCGCCCTGTCACTGTTCTATGTTGAAAGTTAAAGACTCTGGGATGTCAGTATTACGGGTCATACAAATAAACATCAGATAGAATTGTATACTTTTGTTTGTTTTTGTGCTCTAAGAGTGGGTCTTAGTACTGACCAGACTTTGAACATCCGAAGAACTGTTCTGATAACTTAAAACATTTAGTGTTCTGAGGCTTAGTGGTGCAATGGTTAAGTACTCAGCTACTAACTATAAGGTTGTCAGTTCAAACTCATCCAGGGACTCTGTGGAAGAAAGAGCTGGCAATCTGCTTCTGTAAAGATTACAACCTAGAAAACCCTATGCAGTATTTCTACTCTGTCATGTGGCATCAGTATGAGTTGAAAATCGACTCAATGGCACCTAGCAACAACGATAACAACAAAGGACTTTCCATGCCTTATTTGCAATCCTCTCAACTCTTCTGTAGATCAAGTACTACCAGGTACAAAGTACTGGTTGCCATTGGCTTGATTCTGACTCATCGTGACCCCTGTGTGTCAGAGTAGAACTGTGCTCCCCAGTGTTTTTAATGGCTGATTTTTGAAAGTAGATCAACAGGACATTTTTCTAAGGCACATTAACTATCTACGCATTCCACAACAATTATTAGTATACCTATTTTACATATTAGGTAACTAAGTCTCATAGTGGTTAAATATTTGCCCATAGTTATGCATAGTATAACAAGTGATCAGTATATGACAGAAGGCTTGTCTGTCTATATGGGTCCTTCCCCATTTCATCTTATGTTTCTTCTTTTAGCTACTAATGTCTGCCATCCTGTCTTTATCTGTTTGTCTTATCAGAGAAACCATTCACTGCAATTAATGTGAGGGATGTATTAATGTAAACTACAAAAATAATGTATTGAGCACTGATGTAGGATGGTTTCCCTTTAGAGAGTACCTTGATTACTGGCACCAATTCAAAAATATAGAAATAGAGGCTCCAGAAAGTAACCGAGTGGCTAACATTAAGTATATCACTCAAATTAAGCCCCACATCCAGGAAGGAAGTGCACTTTCTAACGAAGAGAAAGCAGAAGTTCTTATGATTAAAAGTAAAACTCATTTATTCCCCAAACACCATACGCTACATATTCTTGTACAACCTGATGTGGTCCATAACCCTTGAAGCTTTTGTTCCAGAGGACCATGGCTGCAGAATGGAAATCTTGCATTGTATTTAGACCATGTTGTCTTTGCAAGTCTTGGGCATATTGTCTTGGTATATTTTGCACTCACCTTCAAATCAGATCTTTTATCACTCCTTTGATGGCATTAAAGACCAAAGCAGAAAGAGTGTGTGTATCTCTGTGAGTTTTGAAGGAAGTTGATGAGTTCCTGGCATGGGAAATTGTGATGACTATTCTATGTTCAAAAGAAAGAAATCCAAAAGATATCATCAAAGATTGATGGCGTATCAAAAACATGGAAAAGAGTGTTGAAATAAGAATAAAAGTGAGGGTGGTATTATATTTATTCAGTGTTTACCGTGTGATTAAGGAGCCCTGGTGGTACAGTGATTAAGCAATTGGCTGCTAACTGAAAGGTCAGCAGTTTGAACCCACCAGTTGTTCTGTGGGAGAAAGATTGGCAATCTACTTCAGTAAAGATTTACAGCGTTGGAAACCTATGGCTCAGTTCTACTTTATCCTGTAGGTTCACTAAGAGTTGGAATGGACTGGACAGCAGTGGTTTTCTTTTCTTTTTTCTTGCTGTGTGATTAGAACTGTTCATGTATTTCATAAATATTATTTGATATATTTTTCCCGCCAACCTTATGTGGTATGAACTTATTATTCTCATTTTATAGATGAAAAAAATGAAACTTGAGAGACTTAAGTGAGTTGTTCATGGTGTGTCTGGATTTTCAATATAGATGTGGATGATGGTTTCCTAATAGTACAGATAAATTTAACATAGTTATGGGAAATAAAAGTCATAATAAAAGACTTGAACTAATACTGATAGTTTCTGGAAATACTATTCTGTTAAAAACAATGTGCAAAATACACACTAGATTCAAAGAACATAATAGCTGAAAAATTGTGATAATAATAATTAACAATTTTGTGTGATTCCATTTAAACCAGCATCTAGACTACAACCCACAGTGTTGCATCCTGCACTTGTCATTTGTCCATGCTCAGATTGCTCAATGAATGGTGGATGGATAAAACAACATAACAAGTTCATAACTTGAAATAATGAAAAAGTCATTACCTTTTGCAAATTGTCAATTTCATCTCAAATTCTCCTATTAGAAGAGCAAAGTGTCCTTCTGCCCCTAAAATATTTGCTGAAGGTATTTGCGCTTACACTGTGTAAGTGATACCTGAAAACAAGTAAATATAAAGCCAAAACCGCACCTTCTCTGGAGTTTTCTGCTTTTATGTTGCAAGTAAAATACTAATGATGAAGGTTATTCCAAAGTAATCTCAATCTCTGCTATTGGCAATTTTCACATGCTTCCTGCTTTGTGGATTATTGTTAAAATTAAAGTCCTCTAAATTTCTAAATAATTAGATTTTTTTTTGTTAATAGTAAATAGTTTCCTGTTATTTTTGAAGCTTCTCTTTAGGAGTAGAATTTACCCATGACTATGAAGGAATCCTTCTCGATTAAGGGCCTGACAGTCTCTATATTACATCAGAACACTGTAAAATTAAGATTTTAAAAGTGATTTGTCTAGAATTTAAGAAAAGTACCAGGAAGGAATGCTTACCTTTTCAGGTACACAAGTATTTGATTTGTTTTGAAAAATAAAATGAGATTTGCAACCATTAAAAATGTTGCTAGCTTATTAGATGTGCTTCTGAAAATACTAAAAAAAAAAATGTTAATTCTCCCGTAAAAGTGTCTCATGGATTGGTAAATGCTATAATTTTAATCTTTTATGGAGTTGTATCGTTCAGAGATTCTCTTTGATACAATGAAAGCATTGACATGATGAATGTATTATTATTTATACTTCTTAAGTTGTCCTTAGGTATGTGTTACCTTAAGCAGTATAATAAATCTAACACTAAATAATAAGATTTTTAAGGGACTTTCGGGCAACATGACACTATAGTCAGAAGCACCATACAATGTCTCCACAGCAAAGATGAGAAAAACTAAGTCAGACAGAGTCACATGTCAATCCTGAAACCCTAAGCATCAAATGAAGAGATAAAGAACTCAGCCAAGCACCAAATGGAATAAGAAACTGACTGAGAACAGAGCACGAGGAGAGATACATGCAGAGGTCCCTTATCAGCTACCGCAGCACAGATCCGTCATCTTGGACTCCTATCAGAGAGCGACCAGGGGGTATGAGAAAGCAGTTTCACAGAGCTTCCAGCAGGAGACAGAACAACTGGTAATTAGCGATAAAGGCTTTCCCACCCACCACCCTTCTTCACCCTCACTTAGCCTCCTCTGCTTCCTGCATCCACAGTCTCTTGGCTGGGAAGCACCAGCTTCACCCCAGTGTCACTTGGATTCTACCTGCCCACACTGGCCAGCACCCTGAATGTCTTTTGTTGGCTGCTGGTGTTGCTTTTTTCCACTTCTTTAGATTTCTTCCTTACTACTCACCACCTCCCTCTCCTTTCTGTCAAATACTTGGCTCCGTGTGCCATGTTTGTTTCTTCCTGAAAGGCAGCAAAACAGTGCTCGACTATGAAACTGCTTCCTGGCCCATGCCACAACGCTATTGGGATGCCTAGGGCTTTTGTGTTTGTTTGTTTGCTCTGATTTGCTTGTTTTCTTGGCTTAGGAGCTTTTTCTAGCCAGGCAGTACCACGAGGCTTGAAAGTTACTCCCTTACTCTGTGCAGACCCACAGGGACATTCCTGGGGACATTTCTGTTTTCTTGTTTTGTTTTTGTTGTTTCTTTGCTTTGTTTTCTTCTCTCTTATTCCCTTTTTGTCTTTCTTCATTTCCACTTTCTCGATTTATTCATTTATTTCTTTTACCCTTTTTTTTCATTTTTGTTTTTCCCCGTTTCTCAGTCACTCACGTCTCCACTCCAATAGCAAGCTCCCTTAGCACTCTTTTGTTTGTGTGTATGTTTTTGGCTCCTGTTCCTCTCTACTCTCTCTCATCTTTCCCATACCTGTCTTACCTCCACACATCACAATCTACCCACTCCTTCCTGCCTACCTGCACCGTGCACTGAACATCACACTCCCAAGCAGCACAGGTATGGCCTACTGGAACCTGCCCTGCACTGATTCCTGGTCCGCACTGTCAGCCCTGTTACGTGCCACAAACAATCCATCCCAGCAACTCCTCTTCAGCTGAACCTGCCCTGCTGTACCATACCTGAGTGGCTGACCCTGCCCATTGGAGAAGGAGGTGAAAAGTATAGTGCCCA